GCGCAGTCTCCCGCCGGCGGCGGCGGCGGCAGCGGGCAGGAAGACCTGTTGGGCCAGCTCATTCGGGACCTGGTAGGGAAACGGACGACTTGCTCGGGGCCCCAGCGGGTTTTCTCTCCCATCGGGACGCCCCTCGCTAGTTCAGTGGGCAAGGCGGCCTTTCCTGAGTGTGCTTGCCAATTTATTTACTGTATCGATATTCCGCCGTTTTTCCTTTCAAGGAGCTCAAGGCGGCTTACCCAAGTTCTCCTCCCCCCAATTATAACCTTGGAGGCGGGTTGGGATGGGGGGCGGCGGGTGAGAATCCGTGACTGGCCCAAAGTCACCCAAAGAGCTTTGTGACCGAGCGGGCACTAGACCCCGGATCTCCTAGACCCCAGTCGCTATAGTACACCAGATGTACTAGTCTGCAGTGTCCAGCGTCCCATGCCGGCCATGCGACAGAGGATTAAAGTCAGAATTTGCATAGAGTGCCTGGTGTGGGTATGGACCCGTGCCAGAGAAAGGTAGAACAGCAGTAGCATAAACTGGGGAGTGGAACCTTTAGCTTGGAGTCCTGCATTGAGCAAGCACCTTATTGGCCACATTGTCCCTTCCAGACCTCCTAAGTACTGGCCAGCTATGTTGGACTACAAATTCCATCATCACTCAGCAAACGATGAAGTGGAGAGAGGGACTTAAAAAGGAATTTGAATAACATATCCATGATATGCTGGAACCTTTCCCAGGGAAAGATGCATCTAATAGGAGACAAGCTGGTGCTGGCCAGGTGCACCCCAAGTTTCTTTTCTCCCTGGCTGGCAGTGGGATGTTGGAAGCTGAAGTCCAGTGTAAGTCTGTGTGTTTAGACAGAAAAAAGGCCTATTTTGCACTTGCCCCATGAACCAGGCATAGAATTGTGCCTTTGATCAGAAGTTGGATATAGGACTCATTATATGTTTGAACCCCTTTCAGCAAAAGAAAAATACAAAAGTACTAGTGGAATGAATTAAATTTTGTCAAGGTACATCATCCTTTTCCAAACTGGTGCCCTTCAGATGTGCTGAACTACAACTTCCAGCATCTTCCAGCCAGTCATACAGGGAGAAAAAATTAAATCCAAATTTGAATACAACAGCCAGTGTATGAGGCAGTACAATTAGATACCATTCACTTTTTCCAGAATACTAAAATTTCAAAACAGCTAAAGCTTCATATGGTACAGGGTAGACCTGTAAAATGCCTGGGATGGGTAGTCCCCTAAGTGATTAAAAAGGCCTTGTATGCCCTTAAATGCTTCAGTTTAGAGTGTTGAGGTTTGGCATACTGCAGGAGAGAGGTAATTCTGTAGGGTGGGTCCCTTTGCATAAAAGACCTATTTGTTGCCACCAAATTACATCAGGAGGTATGGACAACAGCTTCCCCATTGAAGATTACGAGGTTTAGGATACTGTAGGAAGATTATGAGGCTTATATGGGGGATTTTCCTGCAGTAGGCAGGAATCCCAGGTGCTTTCTGAGGTTGGGAAAGCAACTTTGTAGAGCACGGAAAAGGGGCAGTTCAGTTGGAAGGGATGGGAGGAGACTGAAGTGTCAGGATATCGGGTATCTTGAAGCTGTTCCAGCCTCCTTCCCTCCCATTTTAAATGCTATCACTAAATGGACCAAAATGGCCATCTGGCCCAAATTCAGAGCGAGGGGAACAGGGAGGTGAAGGTCACCTCCGTCACACCTTCCACTCTGTATTGTGTGCCAGTAAGCCTTCAAGTTGGAGATTTATGAGCCCTCAGTAGTACCATGCCTGAAACTGATAGTAGGTGCTCCTAGCCATGTGGGTCTCTTGGGGCCTTCAGTGACAGCAATGAATCCAGGAGCACTGGATCGTGCTCCAAATGACAGGGAAAATGCAGCCTCATCTGACCTGATGAGGAGAACCCATGGTTTGTTGATAACCCATCGCCAAACCATACAATAGAGTTCTCCTTTAACAGCCCATACCTAGCCCGTACTCTGGGTTGTTGTAATGTGGAAATAAGGTCCCTGGACTGCAGTTTTCTGTGATAAATGTGCTCAGTTTTTTTTAGTACATGACGTATTCTTTATGATAACACACTGGGTCTAAAGCTTGTTCCATACTGTATTTTTAGCCTTCTGTTTGAGAAGTCCTGCTCTTACTCTTTAACAAATGGATATAGTTAATCGTAATCCTTATGACACAGTGTTTCATCAGCTGTGATGATGGGAGCTGAAACGAGCGATATTCGTAACTGACCAGTTTTCATTTTTGCCCATGCAATAGGCTCGGGGGAATACAGACTGGCTGACTCTCTCCCTCTCCAGATAAAGTTTGGTACCTTTTCTGCATGCATTTGCCTTAGTTTAGGGAAAGTTCTTTTTCCTTTGGGGTAAAAGGTTAGGGTATACAGGCATGCAGAACCCCTTAAGAGCTGAGAGCTAAATTTCATTTCAGAGAAACTCTTTGGGGCTGCATTCTAGTGGTGGGAGAGCCTGAAGGGAAAAGGGGGAGGGCCAAAATACCTCCAATTTTTGCTTAAAGCTCTTAGTGCCGATACTTATGCATTACTTATGCATTAGGAGAGGCTTCTCTCCGTTTCAGTCTCTCATAGTGGGAGAAGGAGCTTTGCAGAAGCTAGGAAGCCATGAAGCAACAGTTGGTCAGGGGAAAGAGGGAAGGTCCAGGGGAAGGGGGTGTGGCCTCCCGAGGTACCCCAGCTGGGCTGAATTGGGATGCCAGCTGGGCTGGATTTGGATTCTGAGTTTCTTCACCCCTGAGATGTCCTATGCAATACTGTGAAGAGTGTAACAGGTGAGTCCTTGACGGGGGAACTGCCACTCCCCAGATTCACACCAGATGGGGCCAGCCTTCCTCTCCCTGTTTGTGCTTTTAAATGTACTGTTTTACTTAGACTTCATTGAACTCATCCCTTTAAAGTTTTTACTTCCATTGAATTTAATGGGAAGAAAAATCATTCTTCAGCTGTCAGGATGGGCATAGTCTTCCACCCTCTTCATGGTGGGGTTGGGGGAGCAAGAAGGATTTGGATCCTGCAAATGCTACCCCTCTTCTTCTGATCATAAAGGTTCATATACTGGTCTTCTGTGATGCTTCCATTGCTAAAAATTGCAAGAAATTAAAAACCCCCATGCAGGCTTGGCTAGTATAGAAAAACTTTGCAATTTATGCAAAGGTTAGAAGAAGCTCACTTCGCTCCCTTCTGGTTAATTACACTTTTTCTTTCTCTCTTTTTAAAACCGCAGATTAAATTTCTGATGGCAGTAAATTAATCCATTTACTGAGCTAGAGCTCCATTAGCGCACTGGTGTGTAGATGTGTGTCTCTAAGGAGTGGGCGGCAGTGTTTGTGTTTTGGATTCTGTCCATCAAATGTTCAAGAAGAGCCGGAGCTAGTTTAGCAAGATGGATTTTTTAAAATGTGCTTTGTGAGCTATCTGTTGATAGGTTATTTAGAGATGTGTGTAAAGATATTGTTAACTGTTTCTTCCCCTCAGCTGAATGTCCTAATTGTAATCTTCTTTGGAGTGGGATATCTGTTTGGTAGGACCAGCCTCAAGTCAGTTGTTCATTTTCTTGCTTCTTGGGCCAATCATTTTGATGTCTTGGGGCCAAAAATATATATGAAGGCACCCATGTTCATCTATGCACATGCCTACCTTCACATATGTAACAGGAGGCCTAATTCTGAATCACTGGAAGAATGGAGTATCTTGTTCAGTTGGTCCTGTCCCTGCTTGATAGGACAAGATTTGTATAAACCACAATAAAATCTTAGACACAGTTTCGTGTTTTGTCTGAACTGGGAAGCTATGTTATCAGGTTTGGAACAAGGTAGAATCTTAAACCACAATTTGAAGTTAGTTCATCACCTTGGCTTGTAAACATATTTTCTTACTATGGATATAACATGAATAATGGATACTTGAAGACTTATGGGTTCATTTGCAAAACAATGAGGAGGGAAGTGTTCACATCTCAAGGCACAATACTTCTTTGCATTTAATTGATGTTCTGTGAAGGAGAGCTGGGTTTAAATCGGTCATCAGCCATGAAGCATATTGAATGACCCTGGGCTAGTCCCATACACGTTCTCCTTTTTCCAGCATAAACTACCTCACAGGCTGGTTATGAAAACAAAATGGGAGAGGGGAAGACCATATATGCAAACCCAAATTGTCAAAAATTGAACAATTTTTAAATGAAATGTTTTCTCTTAGAATGATGACTAAAGCACAACATGTTCAGAAATTTGCCTGGCCTTTATTCTTCCAAAATTACTCCTAAAAATGAAGTAATAGGGAGATTTTTATCTAAAGATGTTAAATATCTGGATATTTTGAAGCCATCGGCAGAAATAGTTTTTTAATGCTTGCTAAGATTCCCAAGGTAGTGATTTTGTCTGTTCCTGGCTGAAATGACTGATCAAATATATTTGTTATTGATAGACATTTAGTGTTGTTCCAGGTCATGGTCCATTTCCCACTATGTGACTTGAGTCATCATATTCCAATGTGTAAAAAATGTACATACTTGACAGTTGTACATACTTGTTTTATGGAGCTCTGGCATTTCTGGTGGTACACTGTAGTAGTTGGTGAATGCCATTCACATGCAAGAGAAACACCGTAGGTTATTCTCGCTACAGCCAGCGCATGTGATCTGAGTCACCCCACCTCTGAATGTCTGTCTGAATGATAAAACAAGTTGCGATTTGGGTCTGTGGAACTCAGCGCCGCATTTTTTCCCCAGTTAGAGCTCACTCTTGGGGAGTGCCGCCTCAGCCATAAAGAGTTTTCTGTTGATGCGCTGCAGACGGCTCTGCTTGGTAACCGTGGGCAGCCAGGCTAGGCAATAGGCTATCATCCAAGGTGGGCATGGTCTGGCATCTTCCAATGGCCTGTTCTTAGACCCACTGCCAAGAAATCTCTCATCTTCTGCAGATGTGGCAGCTCTTCCTCTTTGCATCCTTGTTCACCTCTCTTTCACCCTGGACCGGGCAACAGAGAGGATGAGAAGGAGGAGCGAGGCTGTGTGCTCACTCCCTGGTGCTCTTTATGCCTGGCAGATGTCCCAACAAAATATGCAAAGACGAGAAAGAGGCTGAAAGCACTTACCACAGTGGTGCTGAGTAAAGTAAACCCACAGAGAGCCATTGAGGGAGTCTTGTCTAGGGGCCCTCAAACCACCCCTGAGACCGCTAGCTGGGTTTCCGCATGTACACTTGTCTATCTGGCCACTCACCCCCAAAAAACCCCACCCCTTGTCTATAGCATTTAGTTAACTTCCAGGATATAAAGTCAGGATACAAGCAAAGTTAACTGAATTTATATCCTTACTTTCTGCCAAAAGAGACACTTGAGGCAGTTAACAGGAGTGAAATTCCCATAAAATAGAAATGCCAGTAAAGTTAGAAAAAAAGTCCCCCAAGGTTAATAACACAGTTAAAACACATCAGTAAAAAGAAACAGTGTCTAGCCATTATCACCCCTTTCAGCAGCAACTCAGCTGTTGTACCAAAGGCCATTCTGAATGGAAATATTTTTACTTTCTGCCTGCCGGCAGAAGAACGACAGAAGCCCACTTAATTTCCCTGGGCTGGGGTTCCAGAACCAGGGAGCAGTAGCTGAGCAGGGCTTCTCCTCCACCTCCACCAGATCTGCTTGTGGCGGTGGTGGCAGACAAAGACCCAGACTGGCTCATACAGGAGAAGGCAGGTATCCTGGACCCGAGTTGTTTTGGGCGTTGTAGGTCATAACCGTTATTATGGATCAATGGATTTGCCTTGGTGCTGGGGCACTTCTGCTTAGTTCCCAATAGTGGGGCGGCTCATGTGTTCCCCCAGCAGCAACAAGTAAGTGACTTGCAATTCTTCTTTCTCTGGTGCTACAGTCAACTGGGATGGGAAATAGTAAGCTTCTCCGTTAACACCACACTTTAACACCTCTCCCTTCCCCTCTCTGGCTTCTTTTCAGAACGAAATAAATGAAGTCCCTTTCTTTGACGTTCAGCTGCCTTATGAACTGGCATTGAAAATCTTTCAGTTCCTCGGCCGGACGGAGCTGGGGACATGTGCACAGGTAAGTTTTTGGCTGTTTCAGCTTGCTGCCTGTAAGTCAGTTCCACTGCAAATCAACAGGACTTGCTTCCTAGTAAATACGCTTGGACTTGCCACGTGTGACTGAAGGCTGCCTGCTACAGGTGACAGAATTGCCCCGGCTTGGTGCAAGGAAGATGAGAGTGTCTCAGCACAGCAGTGGCACCTGTCGTGGTCTTTGAGAGGGAGCAGTTCAGACATTTGGTCAGGAAGCTTGAGCAGCCCTCCCGTAGTGCTAGCACTCCGAGTCGATTGATAAGGAGGTGATCAGTAGCCCTTAGGCCCTGTCAGGGGTCCATGAGGCTGTTCAGGGCTGGAGAGAGCCCTCAAACATCGGAAGGGGGACTTGGAGGTCCAGTCTTCTCCCTCTTCACAGCTGGTGCAGCTGAAAGAGCTGTTCTGCCTGCCCTCCAAGGTTGGGAGAGGAAGTGTGTTGGAGGCAGGGAGGACGGACATTGCTGAGCCCAGGATGTGAGCTATCCTAAGCCTCTCCCATCCTCAGTCCCAAACATGCTTTCCTTGGGGGGTCTGGAAGACATGGCAGGCAAAACATAAAGGGCAGGCACTGGAGCTCATGACCAGTCACGCAGGTGTATATTGCAGCCTTTGCTGGCACAGTTTCTTCATCTGTTCCTGGTCTGTGCTGCTCACTGGATTACTTGTAGGTTAGAATAATGTTCCTGAAACACTCGATTTCCTGCTCTGGGTAGCAGTCTCTTGGCAGCCTCAGAATGCCTTATTGGTCTGCCCACAATGCTTTCTTTTTAATTTTGGGAAGTGCTTTATTATGCTCTTTTCTTGGCAATAGGCAAAGGTGGGCTTCTGAAACCATTCTCGAGAAGCAATCCCTGGATATTTCGGAGGCAGCTGAGAGCTGAGCAGAGTTCTGTGGCTTTACAGGGCTTTTGGAACGAGATGCATAGCCAAAGCTTTTAGCCCGCATCGAAAGCGATCAAGTAAAAAGCAAGGCTATAAAAATGAAGACCATTTTCATTTTTCTCCCGGTGCTTTTGATTTTTGAATGATGGAGGGCCTCTTCTGTTAAATGGAGTGCCCTGCTGTCTTGTTCACTTCTATTGTTGCAAGTGTTTTTAAAAATTTTATTGTTAGTAAAGCACTTCGGGAGTTAGTGAAATTGCCCTGGAACTGGCATCACAAGTGATGTGAATGCCTCATGAGAGAATCAATCTCTCTCTCTCTCTCTCTCTCTCTCTCTCTCTCTCTCTCTCTCTCTCTCTCTTTGTGAGTTTCTTCCAGTCAAATTGGTAATGGGCTGACAACAAAAATAGCTTCACTGAGGAACTGGTTGGGGCATTTCCTCACAGGACGGAAGAAGCGTATTTCCTCCGTTGTTCTCCCAGAAGTGTCTGTTCTCCTCTTTTCTCATAGTTGCACTGTTTTGTTTTCCCTTAGCTTTTATGAAAAGCTAAAAGCAGCCCATCATGTTAAACCAGGGTTTTGCAAGCCTGCCATCCATAACTAAGCTTCCAAGTAGTCTGGGAAGCCAAAGATAGGTAGATAAGCATTAATTGTGTAAGAGAAGCATTGATCAAGCACAGAATCCGGTGGGCAGAATGCATGTGCATGGGACTCTTTGCCGATTGACACATTTCTGTTAGGTTGTCTAGGTTCATAGGATGCTGCATTAGCCTCTTGGTCCATCTCAGCCCAGCATTATTGAGGGTGACTGTTTCAGAGACCCTGGGGACTGGACTTTGGGACCATCTGCACATAAAACCACACGCACCGCCGGCAATTTATGGCTCATCCCCTGTGATGTTAGGCTTTCGCAGATCTGCTTTGCGAGGAAGATACAGTGGTGATGCCAATGCAGGGCAAAAAATTGGAGAAGGTTCAAAGAGGACCAGTGTGGGATAGTAGTGAGAGTGTTGGAGCAGGATTTGGGAGACCTGGATTCTAGTCCCCACTCAGCCATGCAGCTAACTGGGTGACTTTGGGTCAGTCCCAAATACTCTCCCTGTTATGCCTCACAAGATGGTTGTGGTGAAGATCGGAGGAGAATCCTTGCAGGCTGCCCTGGGCTCTTTGCAAGAGGATGAGAGACAAGGTATCAATGTAGTACAATAACCAAGTAAAAGCTAAGATTAATGGGAAAGGGAAGGAGGGCCAAAGAAATCCCCCTTCATTTTCCCCAGCAGTGTTATCCCTGGAATTAGGCTCTTGAGTGATACAGAAATGCAATAAATAAAAAGCTCCTGGTAAACTTATGTTAGCCACCTGGAAAAATAACCCTTCCCATTGAGGGTTGTTTTTTTTTTTTAAATTCCACCCCTGGAACACACATTTGAGTGGCTCCAGTAAGCATTCATTAGTCTTCAGCCACTGGGCAATGGTACGGATAAAGCCATGGGTGAGATTCCATATTTTTGGACAGGGAGTGGGGGGAGTCTTTGAAATCTTTTGGCCGTGGGTTGCTCACCTGTATCCTTAACTCAAGCAGAGCTAATAAATTTGAACTTGAGCCAGATGCTCTGTGTGTGCGTGCGTGTGTGCGTGCGTTAAATGGAGCCACTCACAATGGTGCTGTAAAGCAGTGTGCTTGTGACTCTTTTTATTAGAGGTTTCTTGCAGCTGCGCCTCGCTTGGCGTGGCTTTTACTAGGCTTGACTGTGCCAGTTTCTGGTGCATTAATGGGGTGTCTCAGCTTACCGAATCCCTCCTTGGAAAATCAAGGTTTATAAGTCAGCAGGGCTAGAAGTAACCTGATTAAAATCACAGTGGGATTTAAATCCCACCTCCCACCCCCAATGAATGTCGAAAGAACATCCTGGAACCCTTTTATACAGTTGGAGGTGTTCCCTTTACTTTGCCAAGCAGACTTGGCCAAGCTGTTACCCTCCAGATGTGTAGGTCATGCTGGGCAGGGATAATGGGATTTGTTGTCAACCCATCTAGAGAGCACCAGGTTGGAGGGCACTGTTCTAAAAGCTTCAACTTCACTTTGACAGCAGCTTGTTCTGTTGGCAGAGCTTGGTGTTCGGTCCTCTTCCTTGTTTCCCTGCTCTCTGTTGGCACATGGGTAGGAAAAGTTGCCAACCCTTCATTGTCTTCACTTCTCTCTTTACTTCCGGAGTCTCATTAGTATTAGCAGAAACACACTTCAGCTAAAACCAAGTGGAGGAAGGCATGGAGGAGAGCATGTTACCTTTAGGTCAGAGCGGGGCACCTCTTTCACATGCAAGCAATCCTCAGCTTAATCCCAGCATCTCCCTTCCTGCCTGAAACCCGGGGAGTCATTGTCAATCCATGCTGACAGTACTCGCCCAGATAGACCCAGGGGCTGAGTCAGGGTAAGCCCTGAACCTTTAACTCCCGAAAAACAGCTGCTTTTTCGCGTATGTCTGTCTAGTGTTTTTTAAAGCAGCAGCCCATGAATTTCTTGAGGCCTGAGTAAACGGAGGTGCAGCATTCAGCCATTCCCTGCTAAAATAGATTTTACAAACTAAATTGAGCCCAAGGTTTCTGACTTCCTGGAAGAGCAGGTTGCTCAGACAGAGTCAGAGCCAGCCACTGTCCTCCTGCAGCCAGTGCTAGCCTTGAGGTCAGAAAAGTGACCTGGGCAAGGGGGGAAAGAAGACGTGTTGAGGGCTGGGAGGGGAGGCCAGCGAGGACTCTGCAGCCTCCTTCCATTCCCTGTGAAGTGCTGCTGCTGGGGAAGTTAGACTCTAGCAGAGCGTGCAGGTGGAAGGATGAGAAGGTACAGATGAATTCTACCACTCCTCCTGCCCTGCACTAGAGGATTGAAAGCCTCCAATTCGAGGGCCTCACGTCATCGAGGGCACACTTGCTGGGATTCTGCCATTTTGATGCCATGCATGAGAATGTTGGCTCTGAGAGCTGATGTGTCCTCGCCCAGTATTGCATCTTTTTTGCTTTTAGGTGAGCAAGACATGGAAGGTGCTTGCAGAAGACCAGGTGCTTTGGTTCCGGTTGTGCCAACGTGAAGGTTACCTGCCTGATAGTCAAATCTCTGATTTTCCCTGCTGGAAGGCGACCCTCCGGGACTGCCGGGAAAAGGAACAAGCTTTAAGAACCAACTGGAAGGTAATTGTGTGGCCTTCATTGTGACGCTAAAGAACCAAACTAGGAGGGCCCTTCTGCTGTTTGAAATGTGGAATCTTTGGGCTGACAAAACGGAACCATAGCGGAGAGGTTTGGTAAAATGATCATGAGGCTGGGATCACTGCCCGACGAGGGAAGTTCAGAATACCTTGATCTGTTCAGCTTAGGGAAAAAATGAGTAAGAGGAGGTACAATCGAGGTGCATAAAATTATGTGCTGCATGGAGAAATACTAGAATCCAGTGGATTTGTCCCATAGGGTTGATTGGTGGAAGACTCAGGACCAATTGGTGGGAGATTCTGTTCTTCTTCACAGGCATCGTTAAACTATGGCCTTTCTTACTGCAGGATGTAATGATGGCCACCCTTTTGGATACCTTTTAAAAGCAGCTGGACAAATTTGGGGAGGATAAAGCTGCCCATGACTGTTACTCCCGACACCTGCATGCTTCTTGTGGTGTATGCCTAGATCCACCAGCTGCCGGTGAACATGACGGGGAGGTTGCCCTCGTAGTTATGCCCTGCAGGCAGCTGGGAGGCCACTGTGCGACCAGAACGCTGGACTTGGTGGAACTTTGATGGCTCTCCTGTTCGAACAGGCAGTCTTTCCCCCTCCTGCCAACCTTGCTATGAGAGGCTTGTGTCTCCCTGACTGCAAACCTAGTTCCCTTGAGTCAAAGTCCTTCAGGCAAAGGGAAAACAGGACTGTAAAGATTTATGGACATGAACTAACAATATTTTCCTGCCTTTGTGTGCAGAATCGTGTTGGTGCTGTGAGCCAGCTGCAATACGAACTGGGGAAAGTTCTGTGTGATGTGCATTCTTGTGATGGTGTGGTCATTGCTGGGTAAGCATCCCTTCTCTTTTCTCCAAGAGCATTTCTCTCGTCTCCTACTGACAGTGTAATTGGGTATTGTAATGGTTTGGGGCCCAGGCAGCACAACTGAACTGACAGCCTAATTGGAGCTGCTTTGGGAAGGGAACTTCCCAGCTGCCAGTCTGTGTCAAGGGGATTGGCTTACGGTGAAATAAGAACGAACCAAAATTCAGGGCTAATGCAATTAATGATATGGTGCTTTAAGGACTAGTGCAGCCTTTCTCGACCTGGTGGCCCCCAGAGGTGTCTTGGACCAGGATGGCCATCATCTCCGGATGGAAAGGATCTTTGCTGTCTGGTGGTCATGGCGGTGGTGATCTAGGATTCCAGTTTATGGGGAAGCTTAGTTTGCTCTAGACTGTGAAAGCGAATGCCACAACTGCTTTACAAATATTTCGTAATGTAGACATGGTTCAAATAATGAATAATGGATGAGGTGCATTTTAAAGACTGGCTTGTGTTTGCTGTAATGGGCCAACACAGCTGCCCTGCTGCAAATAGATAGATAAACAAAATTGAAATTAGTTGTGAAAAGTCCCTAGACTCCAAAAGTTGCTTTTTTAGAGGAATATGTCCAGTAAAAGCAAGCTTTTTGACTGTGCTTTTGGGATAATGCTAATTTTGACTTGCCTCCTGAGGAAATGTTGCGTATGTTTCCTGGTGTACCTGACCGGTTAACAATATTTGTGCTGGGAAACTGAGGGTTAGGTGTGTTCAGAGCACAGTGCCATGGAGCAGGCTGGGCACGGAGGTTCCTCCTTTGGAAGAGTTCGCCTTTATGGAAGCATCTTTTGTGCTGAAACTGGAGCTGCCGCCCGCAAGTTAGCCCGAGTTTCCCTGGGTGATGCTCCTACTTTAGGGGTGTAGTAGGGGCAGTCATTGCCAAGAGAATGGCTCAGCAGTCAGTCCAGAAGCATCATGGCCTTGAAAGAGGACAGGCATTGAGGGAAGAGTGCATGCCAGTGGGTAGGGAGAGGGGAGAATTTGACCCGGGTCCACAAGTCGCTCTGTCTCAGTCCCCACCAAAAGCAAGGCAGGCAGGCTAGATGGACTCAGAGGCTGATCTGGTCCAGATGCTGAAATAGAGGGCTTTCTTTTTTAGACCATTCAAGTCATCTCACTGCAAGCACGGTACTGAGAAAGAAAGGTCAATGTAATGAACATCTTTGAAATCGGACACAATTGATAAAGTTGAACATAGTCATTTTTTCACTGTGCTAAAAACAGAGCAGGCTTTTTCCCCAGATGTGGTGAAGATGTTGAAGAGCTCAAACATACTGGAAAAAGATTGCCCATGCAACATCTCCCTTTCCAAACATTAATGCAGCTATTGTTTTTCTTCTTAATTTTATAAGAGGTAGTGTTCAATGCACCAGTGATTGGTTTGTTACTGGAAATATAAAGAGAGATCTTGGATACCAGAACAGCTGGAATAACTGTGGAATATTTTTCGTTAGTTAAATTGATGGCACCTCACAAATCCTCAAAGCATTTGAAGGTGTTAATGAATTCTAGAACACGTGGTAAATTCTGCGAAAAACTCTTCGTGCCACTTGTTATGGCGGATTTGAATGGTTAAACTTTTAATAGAGAGTAATAATCTGCCTTTTGTAAATGGATTTCATCTTAGAGGAAGGTGTCTTTTGCTGGGAGTGTGTGTTTTAAGCTCCATTTTAAAATAGGTTTAAAGGCCTTTCATCTCTTAAATTAGGCTTCCAAATTCAAGAAGGTTTAGGAGAAAGCAAGATCTTTGTGGAAGGATTTGTGTGCAAGCTTCAGGTCTGACCCTGAAAAAAATTCTTGGGCTGGGCAAGTGTGCAGAGGCAGCTTTGCTCTGCATTCTGCATCTGCCGTCTCAAGCCAGTTTCGCTCCACGTTGTACCTGGCTCTGGTTGGTGGACCTGAGAGATCCCCAAAGCCTAACAGAGACATAGATCTCTGCCTAAGAATGCTGTGGGGTCCTTTTGGATAAGGATCAGAAAATAGAAACGGTTCCATGAGTTTTCCTGAAGTGTGACTCAACAGGAGTAAGCCAGCCATCATGTTTAGACATGAAATTAACTTAACAGCCAAGTTCCCAGTACTAACTGGATTGCTGAAATGCCAGTAAGGGTGGCTGCAGTACCAGGGAAAATGAGAAGCTTGGGGGAATGACCCCAAATTACCCAAATGTTTGACCTGAAAGCATAGACCTCATTTGCACAATCAGATAAGCCACCTTGGCTCCAATGAGGTGCAGCAGGGTATCAGAATTGGCATTGCGTGCCAGCCACCATTTCTCTTACCCTCCCAGGGATGGCTTGTCGGGTTATCCAGACCCAAGTGGCATGGCTCCTCTGAGGCAGGAAGCAACCTTCAGGCAATCCATAGCCTGCCGAAGGGTTGTTTGTGGGTCATTTCCCCCTCAGATAAACAACTCTGCCACCCAGGTGGCATATCCATGAGTGTGAACTGGTCCTTTGACTGATTCAAAGAATGTGGATTTTAAATGTGCATTTTGGAAATGACTCTTGTAAAAATATCCGATGCAGTTGTGACAGTTTTAAATTATCTAGTGTTTTCTGGGAAGTAATGATGGTTCATTTGGTTGAAAAGAGGCTGCTTGTGCTTAGGAATTTGGGATATTTTTTTCGGTACTGCTTTGTTCCTTCAGCAAGGCTTGCTATGCACGAGCCTCCCAAAACTCAGGGCTCAGCTCCGTGGATGTTTTTCCTCCCTTTGGTCTATGTGCCAGTGTGGTGTATTGGTTAGAGCGCTTCACTGACACTCAAGAGATCCAGGTTCAAATCCCCTTTTGGTTGTGCGGTTCACTGGATGACTTGAGGGCCCGCCTCGCAAGATTGTTGGGAGGGTAAAATGGAGCGGAGGAGAAGTATGCCGATTGCCTTGAATTTCTTGGCAGAAAAAAAGGCAAGATTTCAGTGCAGTACTGTATTTTATGTGCCGTTTGGGTTGGAGTATTGCAATACTGATTGTTTTATCCCCTAAGTATAAAATGAATCTGTTATTTAATCGAGATAAGTTTATTATTGTGGTTTTTAGCAGGTACCCTTCGTGTCTGTACCAGAGTTTGCATTGTGTAGTTCTGTGGATGCCGTGCTGCATTTTCCGAGCCTCCAAGAGATATTTCTGTGCTCCCACAATGGCACGTCCTTTCTGTTTATCACTGCAATCGCTTTCTCTGCAATGCAGAGTTTAAAAGGTTTATTCCTACAGGTCTTCTAGAGCCATGAACCTTATTAACCTTGTTTCAACACTTAAAAACTGTTGGGTTTTTTTGAGAATGGATGTCCCTAGATAATCACTAATCTATTTACCCTGACCCTGCCTGGTGCATGGAGTGTGTTTAAACCTGGGCTAGTTCACCCCCCACCCTGGTTTTTCTGCCTGTTGGTTCTTCTGAAGCCTCTACACCAGGCAGTGAATAAAAGTGGTGATGTCATAGGAACTGTGAAATTGGCTCGATCTTGTCATAAATCAATGTATGGCATTTTACAGCAACACTTCATTTTAATGATATGTTTTTGTAGAGTGGGATTAGAGTCGATTGTCTGTTCTTTAAAAAAAAAAAATCCCCTGTGCCATTAATGCCAGATTCTTTGAGTGGCAGAGGCGAAGCCTGCTTGAAATAAATTCACAGAGTAGTTCCTTTTTTGCAGGATGAAATGTGAGCATTGATTGTTGCTGGCTAAAAGCTAAGTTGGTATTGACTGTGCTCCTTTAAGGGACTTAATTTTTCTTTTTCTTCTGCTGTAACCTCCATTTGCAGCCGTTGTAGCCCTCGTTCAGGTATTCTTGGCAAAGGGACTCATGGCATTTTCATGACCTCAGGGTGGTGGTTGTTTGCGTACATCTCATCTATGTGCAGAATGATGGATAACCTCCAAATAGTATCCCAGACAGTAGCTCCACGTCTCCCATAAACTTTTTTGTCTGGTGAGTGCCACGTATTTTGGAAGGCTCTCTCTGACAAAGCCCCAAGCATCCTTTATAGCAGTTTTCCTGGGGTACATAAGATCAAAACTACACTCTTCTGCAAAACCAAACAGTGCTACACTGTAAACAGAACTGGTGCAAGCAGTAAAGTGATCGTAGAATGAAAATTCGTTGCAGATTCCTGATGCAGGTAGCAAGTGAGCAAACCCATCTTCTTGTCCAATTTTACTCTTTGTTCAAAGATGAGCTAGTGAAGTTATTTTATTGGTTACGTATACATCCCACTTTAACCATCTGTGAGTGACATACTCAATCCATTTTATCCTGGGAGGCGGTTTGGGTTGAGAGTCCGTGAGTGGCCCAGAGTTGCCCACAGAGCTTCATGGCCAGGGGGGGACTCATCAGTCCCAGTCCACCATTGTGACTGCTGCAACACACATTCTTGGCAGGGAGAGAGAATTTGTGAGCAAGTAGCTGGCAGCATCTGCTGCCCCTTCTTTCCACCACCACTGACTGGACAAGAGCAAGAAGCGGGTTGCAGCTGCTGGTGGTATTATTATTATTATTATTATTATTATTATTATTATTATTATTATATTTTCATTTCTATACTGCCCTGTAGCCAAAACTCTCTGGGCAGTTTACAGCAATGTATAAAACAATAAAATGCAATACAAATAGCAGCAGTGTTAAAAGAGTTTACAGTTAACTTAAAATAGCTTTAAAATGCAGTAAAAATACCTAGGAAGCCACAGCAAGAAGAAGAGGCACCGGGATAATCCCTTCAGGCCTCTGGATAACCCAGGAGACCTTTAAAGGCCTCTGCCTAGAGGGCTGTCTTGACCCTGTACCGAAAAGATGGCGAATTGGGATACTGGCCAATCCAGAGGGTGCTTGTTGGTGGGCCTGTGTTGGGGTGCAGGTTCTCAAGTGTCCAACCATACCTGCCCTTGGTGGTTGGGCTGTTCCTGCTTTGTCTCGACCAGCATCCTGTCCCCATCAGTAAGCAGCTGGTTGCTTATGAGAAGCTTCTC